TAACACTCTTATCGAGACGGTCACAAGACGCTGAATCGAAGTATAGCACATTCGGCAGCGAGCTCCTAGTCATGTATTGTGCTGTACAGTACAATGAACACCCGACAATTTACTCTGATAATCGACCAAAAACATCTCACCTACTCTCTGGGCTCGTTCTCAAACAATTACGTCTCTCCAGAGTCTCGGCAATTGGACCACATTCCGCAGTTTGCGTCAGATATACAACATACTTCTGTGGCAAACAATGTAGTTGCATTCACCTTGTCTCTCATAACTTACTTGAACAACTTCCAGGGTTCGGCCTTCCTAAACTTGCAAAGCCCCAAAATGAAGATACTGATATTCAGCACGAGTTATCTTCGAAGACCCTTAAACTACGACTGAAGCAGATGGGGACATGAAAAGATGCTTTTTCTATGTGACACATCTACGGGTAGGGATCACCGAATCATGCCAAAACATTATTGGCGTCAAGCTTACAATACGTCGCAAATCCTTTTTGTTTCTTACACTGTGTCCGATGATAAAGGTTTCGAATTGGTTAGACTGGTATCCTATAGCAAAACACACACCTTGTATACGTGGGTGTTTTTTAAGATTTTTGTCCCTTGTGCTCCTAAGAGAAAATATTCAGCTCTACTGCGAGTGAATCTTAGAGGGATATACAAAAACCTTACCCAGTGGGCAATGTTCAGTCCGTCGTGAGCGGCTTTCAGAGCTTCTAGCAACACTTCCTACTGATTCCGGAAATTGTGCAAAAATTCGTCGGCATCATCAAATCGTGTTATCAGACTTCTTCATCATTACATTACCTACCTCCATCATTAACATCGTGGGTTTGTAGCTCACATTTCATTAACTGAGGTTTTTGAGGAACGATTTACAATTCCGTAATTTCTAAATTGGTATATTCAAAGCAAATAACCATACACTGCTGGTAGCTACTGTAAGAATATTGTGAGTCCTTTCAGTAAGTTCTTTGTGATTGTGCATAAAAATCGTCTCCCATAAACGATTTTGTAATGATTTCTTTTGTCAATTCAACTGCACTGTGCTATGATTTCGATCAAGCAGCAAGACAAATTATGCCAATAGCACTAAATATTTCAGGCATAAGATGACATACTTAACATGAAGAAGGATGGTTGATAGTTAATAACTCAGAACATCAGAATTATTAAAGGTATTCCCAACAAAATGGGGTAAGAAAAGATTTTAATAATCGTTTCCATCAGGCGGTCAGAGAGCAACACTGATCAACGGCTCCGCATAGTAACCCCGACTTTTGTCAAACACAACATTACAGTCAATCAATAGTTTGCAGCAATCAACAACAAAATTGAATGAGTAGGACAGATCTTGGCTAAAGTTTCGTGATAAATGCCAGGACAAAATTATTCATAAATATGCAGCAATGGTTACACGGGTCTCGAGTAAAAGGCAAGATACATGACAAATGAGGAGATTAAGAAAACAAAAAGTCCGCAAAAATAAAAAAACACTATCAGAGGATTTTAAGGACAGTTCTCCTGCTGATCTTTTCGGATGATTGGGACAAGTTTTTCGTGATGCATACGTACTGTTTTCTCTGAGAAATGTACAGCATGAACTTGAAATTGGTGAAGAAAACCATTAGCAAGACTGGATAAAATCACACTGCGAACACTGTCTCATGCCTAAGTCCATGGTGTGGAACCCATTGGTCGTCGTCATTCTACACCTTGACAATGTTTGATAAACCGCCCAACAATCAGCGTTTTGCCGTCTGACACGGAAGTTATTCAGCATGATGAATCATCAGGCTAAGGACTAGTGAAATTTAATAGAAAATGTTATTAGAGTGGCTAACAAGAACTCAGAGTCTGAAAGATTTTTGTTTATGTCTGATCTACCTGAATGGTCCCCAAACCAAAGCAATCAGTAGTCCAGTATGATGTGATACAAGGTATATTTAAACTATGGATTGATTTAACGTTGTCTATAGAATTTAAGTTGATCAGCTATCGTACGATGGATTGAAATCGAATGAGCTTGCTGTTCTTAAATAATATTCTGATAGCTTTTATTGTCCAGTAGAGTCTGGTCTAATCTCAAGAGCCATGTGACACATTTTTATGATAGAAAACTTTCAATGAAAGGTTCAATTTATCGTATCCGTCATGAGTTCTTTTTAAATTTTTCCAGTCGTTCTGGGCAACAAAGAAATAAAACTGTGGGTGCTCGTCAAAATAAAATCGAACATACGTAGGCAAACAAAAGGTAGGAAAGAAACTTGATGTATATACCGTGCTACGTGAATAAAATTTCCACACAAAAATATTGTCTCGGATATTTTTTGAGGAAAAATATGCACATATACAGGAATATAAAAAATAGTTCCATATTTCAATAAAACATGTAAGCATTGGTCTAAACAACGAATCGAAAATCTGTTCGAAGTTCCTACAAAAATACTTTCCTGGATGACTCATTTCCATGTCACTTGGAGAGGCACAATAAGCAAATTGATCGTTACATATGATGATTACAATTCCGGATAACCTAGGGAGAGAAAGTTGACTCCATACGCAACTCCGATGGTTCAGGTACAACAGAGATGAATGCTGGTTGTATTCCAGTAGTATAAAAGTAACAGAATTTTTGTGGGAAGGTCAACGGTTAACAGGTACTTATCCATGTTCGTATGCATGTAACTGAAAGTAAACATGGAACTAATAATTAGGAATTCTGCCGAACAGTTGACAATAAGTCATCATTATAGAAAACATTCATCTCAGATCTTTTCTGATCACAGTTTCATAATTTCTTGATAAACGAGAATCCCATACGAGTTCTCCTTGTCAGACCTACTCACAAATCAACAGGCAATGTGTATGGAAGGAAGTCAAAGGAAAATGTAGACAAAAATTAAAATAATGTTTTACACATATGAGATTTAATTATCAGCTAGAAGATTATGATAAAACGTTGACATAACTTTGCTGCCACTTAATATGACGCGGACATTCAGGGTTTGTTTTATAACTTGTGGCCTGTTAATGTATAACGTGACGATACCGCCAATCAAAGAGCAGTGAATTATCGATCTGACCGATGACTCATCGAACCCGTACGAGCAGCCTAGAGTCCTGATTGGCCCTGCTCTCCGCCTAGTCCAGCCAGTTACGCCCAGAACACCAATCTCATTCTCTGCAATATGAATAATTTATTTCAAGCATACTTGGTTTATATACCAACCAAACAGACCATTTGTACAAGAATTAGCCAAATGTGGCTGCGAATGAGGGAACTAGTAATTAATAAATAGAGCATAATTCAAGAATTGTAGGTCGTAGAATAATAGTTCGTAGGTCAAAATAAAGCTCCAAAATAAGCGGGACATGAATATGAACATTTTAGTTATTTAACAAATATACGATAAAAATATACGCATATTATTGGTCTATAAATGGATCCAAAAAGTTACCATTCATTATGCTTAATGCGACCAAACTGTTTAACAATACTCTTGTAGTTCACATCGAAAGACCCAGGACACAGTCAAGCCACAGTTCAAAAATGGTGAAGTGCTGAGAAAAATTCCGACGCCAGTCGAAATGTCAACATAAGGTCACCTCGCTTCCTACGATACGACAAGGGGGAAAGTTCAAGGCGGTTTAAGCGCCCATCGTAAGGGATTTCAGGAAGACTTAACCCTTTTGAAAGTCGTGTTCGCGGCCTTAAATAGTGATGTCATATCATGCCTGTTAACTGCTAGGAGCTTACCGTTGGTTTTTCTTGTGACAGAGTCGTGGGAGTCGAGCGGATGACTCGCAACGATGTTTGATGAGGACAAACATTTTCCATCTACGATAAGGTTAAATATTTTCTTACATTTAAACTTGGGCAGAGTAATCTGCAATGCAGAATGTGAGTCCGTCAACAACTTTGAGACAAATGGGCGCTATTTTGGCTATCTTTTACTCCTTTCTTTGTTTCCACACCATCCATTTTCCATCAGTCGCACCATACAAATCAGGACCAGTCAGGACGACAACAGTTTTGTCCGAGTCATCAGTCGCTTCTGTAGGCACTTGACCACCAGTATCCAGTGGTGTTTCACACATTAATTGTTTCGTGATAAAAGTCCCTATTGCATGTTGCACAGTCGGGTGCCAGGCACATGCCGTAACAGCATTTATGACACTGACTTATTCTTCACTATCAGTAAACACGTTACCAGTACAACCCTCACTAACCATTTTTTAGCCAACGCTAGAAGGCTAATTGTTCATTGGATGAGTAATGTCTTGCTCGAACGACAAAACGTACAAAGCCAATGGGAGTCAGGATTTAAGCACCTTATATAGACAGTGAAGTTTGAGAGGGTACACATCTTATGGGACCACTCATTACAGTCATCACATTGTATTCCTTTCTTCGGAAGGAATAAACAATATAGCTCTCCACTTTTGTGAGCAGAGCCGATCATCTTAAAAATCAAGCGAAAATGGAAACACAGAAATGGATTTGAATGAACTTCAAACCTAAACCAAAATGAATCAATTCAAATTCGCCTAAGCATGCTTTGATGCAGTGAATACACAAAAAAAAGTTAATACACACAAGTAAGAAATCAACTTAACTGAAAGAAATTCACTTAGAGTGTAAACAGTAGTTTTGATGCGTAATTTACAACCAAGACAGTAAATTTAACTCGACAAGGAAAAATATCACTCTTTCTAAATAGAGCGTACATTATAACAAACGCTGTGTTCTCTTATTTTCTAAAATTTGGAGATCTCTGAAAAATCAGACGGCGGAAAATATTCTGTTTTGTGTATCTAACTGCTCTATGAATAAACCATCGTGGAGAGTTTTTTGGAGCTAAGTATTTTCGAAGACATTTATAATCCCGGTTGAACCATCACTGTGATAAGAAAATATAGTGAAAATAATTCAATCTCTCGTATAACATTGGCGATTGAACGAGTTTTGTTTAATCCGCCGGGCGGGACGTAACACTATTTTTCTAATCACACCGGGATTATGACAGACGCTGGCTTCTTCAAGGTTTTCCTTATTAGCTTTCTAATTGTTTCTATCGGTGTTTAGGGTACGAGTGCTGAGCAAGATGCCAGGTTCGCTGATAAAAAGAAAAAGTTAATGAAAACTATGAAATTCGGAGAAAACTTGGCTCAAAAGGCATGAGCTCTATTTGTCATTTATTTCCAGGTTGACATGTCCAAAATTAATTTGGAGTCTATAAGACCATGGATTGTTAAACGTATAACAGAGCTTTTAAACTTTGAGGATGAGGTCGTCTGTGATTACATTTTCAACCAACTGGAGGAGCGCGTAAGTTTGCTTACTTTTTTCGTTGTTAACACTGAATTCATCATAGAAGCATCTTTAGTTGTGGTTAAGACTAGATCAGGGTTTAAATATTATCACGGTTTGCCTCCGTTCGCTGAATAATTTTGTCAGATGACTCTGGGCCATTGAAAATAGTTACTTAAATAATCAATGTAGTGTTCGTCTTGATCAACCTATCACCTGCGCAGTTCCTTAGTGGAAGTTTTGAGTTTCTCTTAGACAACTACTTTCAGTCCAGGTTTTTTTGTCCAAAAGCCGAATGTGTAGGCTATTTTACTCATTAAACACCTACTTACCGAGAGTTTGCTTTCACCATAGTGTTACTCATTTCGAATTTCGTGTGTAAAAGCCACCTACAAACAAGCTACAAAAAAGCGGTGAGGTATTTTACTGTTTACTAGACACGTCGTAGTTCTGGGATACGTCTATTTATGAAATTAGTTAGCTTTGTTACCTGTTGAAGGTCAAACATGCACTAATAGTCATGGTGTGTATGGTTCCTTCATAAACGTAAGAACGGAACAGATGTGCATCGACCTAGTTTACCATACCAAATCAGCGCACTGATACGATTATTGCTTCTTGTATGTGCATTCTGAACGAGGGCAGATAATCAGTTACTTAAACTGGAAACATTGAACTGAGCTGTTATTGGTCATGCCTCATTCTGTTCTTAAGGCATAAGCAGATCAGTAAGCTTTCAATACTGACATCTTTCTAAGTAATAAAAGTACGCATGTGTGGAGCTGACTTATTGGTGATTTGCTGTACGTCGAAACTAAGGGAAATTTGCATTAAGTAAAAAGGATCAAGAACTTTGCATTCTTTGTACATTGTTTGTACGTTATCGTGTTATTTCCCAATCAGTTTTCGGTATTTTGATTTCCTATGTGGATACAGCTTGTTCGGGGTTTACGATGCTGAGTATTACATTTATACCGATGTATGCCATCAGTCAGTCATCTACAACGTAGGACCAGGCATATATATGCATCGGTTCAAGTTGCCATACCTCATTAGCACAACAAGATTAACACCAAATTCACAGAAGTAGTTGCCTCAATAGTAGTGATATATAAAAGAAGGATTGTGTATATGGATATGATACAGGGAGAAAGAATTTCATAGAAAAAAAGGTATAAAGCTATTCTAATCTCACTGTTTGAGAGTAGACAAAGACTGTATTCACTTATGTCATTGTGAGCAATTCTGAGCCATGTCACCAAGAGTCACTAACCATTGGTTACGATAGTCACGCGAACCCCAACAAAGTAATCTGCATCTACCAATATGGCTCAGACCAGAATTTAGTGAATTTAAGCAATGGTGCCATTGTTTGGTTTGGCTGCCCCCCCCAACTTTCATTCAACCATCTCTAACACTATTCAGAAATGCGCCTCGTAGTAATCGGTGTTCAGGCATACACAACACATAGCCCAACCATCTCAGTCGATGAAGATTCACAACTTCATCAACTGATTTACTACCATTTCCTAATACCCTGCTTCTAACCTCACTATTACTGACCCGGTGATCCTAGCAGATGCCAGTAATATTTTTAAGGCATCTGTGTTCAAATACTAGTAGCTTACGAGTATCTTCAACTCTTAGTGGCCATGTTTCGCAGCCGTAAAGTAAAACAGAACGAACTGCCGCGCAGTATACTTGTCCCTTAATTGATAAACTGATATCTCGCCTTCGCCATGGAATTTTATGTCCATCGTTTCCAATTGCTGTTTCTATTCTACACCCAAAATTAAATTCGTGGCTGTCCAGTCGTTTAGATGCTTATACCTCCGCAGAAAATCTGATTTTAAAGCAGCTATTCTTGTTACTGGCGCTTAGCGTTTTGTAGCAACTTCACTTTTCCTAACATCTGAAATTAGGATTTTACATATTTTAGTCGCCTACCACAAGTATTTTAGCATGTCAGCTGAAAAAGTGCTATGAATAGATTTTAACGTAGTTGGGGTTTATTTACTTACGATATATAAACCAGTTAATACTGTATTATTCCATTTTTAAATTAACTTATAATAATGACCATTTTTTCCAATTTTAAAGTTGGTTTCGATTAAATTTTCAGGTCTTTTGGGATGCACATCGACAAACAATGGTGGAACTCAGGTCTCCTGCGACGCACTGAGTGCGCTGCCGGTACACATTTGAGCTTGTCTGAAAATCTATTAATTTAATAATTAATTCTCATTGTCAGTTAATTGGGTATTCGCTTCCCCAACTTATGTGTTATTTTCTGTTCCTTCTAGCATCCAGACCCAAAGGAAATCCAGATTAATATAACGGGATTTTTAAACAGCAAAAATGCGAGGGTGTTTTTGTCCGAACTATGGGATTTATTGTTATCTGCCATGCAGACACCAGATGGCGTTCCTGCAGCTTTTCTGGAGGCCAAGAAAGAAGAGATCGCAAAGCGTCAGGTAATCTTTCGGTTAGAAACTTGAAAAAGTCTGTACTTGATTATGTGCTAAACTACTATTTTATTGAATATCAAAATTTATTCTAAATATAAATTCGGTCATTTTACTTAGGTATTACTATTATTGGTCGAAAGTGTGGAACTATCTAACTCGGTGAAAACGGCGCCCATCAGGATTAACACAGGCTCACCAGCCTACTATCCTTATTACTGAAGACTGTATTAAGGCTCTAATTGCATATTAATCTAGGTTGTGTGTGTCGATAATAACCGTTTGAATTCTATCTGTTCATTTAGTAAAATTAATTTCCCAACTAATTACGGTACATAGTTGACACTATCCTCGTATTGTCCTACCATCACTCCTATCACAATGATTTATTTGGGAGTTTACTATTCTGGATTCTATCAAATTCAAGGTATGTCTCAATGAAGCTGTTCGACTTTTGGCAACTAAGTAGCAGGTCTTAACCCCAATTCAACTCTGCGGCCCATAGCCATGTACACAAATTTGTGCCCGGTAAATGAGTTGCTCAGGCTTCAAAAATAAAACTGATATCTTAAAAGCATGTCATCTTAGTTACCGTAAGATAATCGTATTTTTTGGAAACATTCCACCTCTCAAATCAAAAACAGCAATCGATATTTCCTGTTATGATTTCTAACTAGTGGATCGTGCATGTCTTTTTTGACAGCATCAGCTTTGATGTAAATAAAACTTTGGCATTTTGGAGAATTACCAGAAGCCGCTATCTGCCTTATCATATTTGCTTATGAACATATCTACTATCTATTAATTACAAAACCGATGCAATCGGTTTTGAACCTAAAAGCTCACAAATTACACTGAGTTATCTGGTTTATGTTAACGTCAGAAAAAACAGATGTCAATATTTGATCTTATCGTTTCATTGGTCATCTTACGGTTGAGTAATTGATAAATGCTATTTCGTCTCTTTTTCAGGAGGACGAAAAGTTTGTTCTCGAAATGAGAAAGAGGGAAAATGAGCTAATTCAGAAAGGAACTAATCGAACGTCTAACATGAGTTCCGAACAAATAGATAATCAGAAGCGCGTTTCGTCTGTCAAAAGCAATGGAGTAGCAGAATCTGAAGAGCCGGAAAGTATGCACTTTTGTGGTAGTTGTCCATCTGGAACTTTTAGTATCCATATGTGATGAGACAGAAAAATGTTATAATCTAAAGATTTACATAATCGACTGTCAATCACATCATCTCATATTTAAAGCTTCCAGTTTGCAAACAACAGGTTACAATTTCTATGACCTTGGGGCATCTACACTGCTTGAGGAGCTAAATCTAACTTACAAAAGTGTTTCTAGAAACAGATACATAAACATGTAAATTTTAAGGTTCACTACTTGGTTCTATCCTTTCAAGTTTCAGAAAAGACTTGAGTGGTTCTATTGTCAGCAATTCGTCAGTCATCAGTTGGGATTAATTTAGAGCTCGACTCGAATGTGCGTTGGCCCAAGTTGGCATGTTACGTTGGTACGGTGTAATTAAATTTACAAGATAAATAGCGAAAGAACCAAGGTATTGTAGTGGCAGACAATGAGAATGACTAAGCATTGATAATGCTCAAAGGGACAATACATAGGGAAATACTGGAACTTAATTCGTAGGGTAAAATAAAGGATAAATGCATCTACATTGCAACTGGTTGAGTCACATCAAGCAACATCTTTGACCAATGAATTGGTTGGTGCACTCAATTACCTCACTTCATATCGTTAGTTAAGGTGTTGATTTTGAGCATTGGTAAGGAAGCATAGGTGTGAAAAATGTTAATGAAAATGATCAAAATTGTCATGATTTCTCTCCATATGGTAATCATTTGGATCTTAACAACTGCGTAATGTAATCATAACAGTTAAATTCTTCTTTCCAATAGTTGGGCCTTTCTTTACGTTTTTTCAATCCAGATATTACGATATCTCAATATTTTATACGATTTTATCTGATCATCAGTTTACGGATTTATCTCAGAGCCGATTGGTTTATATCAGAGAATCTATCCGACTTCGTCAAATGAGCTGGTCTACCAGACTTTATTGATGGTTTATAAACCTATTTGTCGTGCTCTGGAGTTAATGATCTTAATTTAAATTAGTGAAACAGCTAGAAATTTAAGTTCATTTAAAACTTGACACCACACACTGACCGGTAGTATATCTTGTCACATTGTAACATTAATTTCAGAAACAGCTAATTATATTCTTAGTATTTTCGACCTAAAATTGCCAACACGACATCTAGATGACAAAAAGACTCACCAGTCTTATAAATCAAACATCTCCATCTTCAAATGACATAATCCCCATTCAAACATTAAAACACGAAGTTTAGCGAAAAGATCCCTTTTCGACGAATTTATTTTCAAGCTGTACAGTCATATATATACAGCTGGCTGTCACGCATTACATGCATATCACTAGTACAAAGGTTTTGGCCCTCGCACTTCATAACACAAATAGATATATGCCCTCCTTCAGTAAAGGTTGATGGTCATCTCTCAGTATTTGCTGCCATATTTTTTATCATGTTTTCAATTCGAAGGATTATGCCAGTGATTTTATTTAACATATGGCAGACATTTTTTCAGCTTACGTTCTCCCGCATGTATACATAAACCAAACAAGTTGAAACTCATGCAGTTTATGTACATAAGCATACACATCGAGCAGCATGCGAGAATTTAGTCCTACAAAGTGAAATCCAGTTTATTCGGCTTACAAAAGAGTAGTGGATTGGTCCGATCTCATCGGTCACCCAAACTAACTAGTAAAGTTTCCCTCACTACCTGACCACCACGTGAAGGCTTTAAGTCGGATTTAGCTGTCTAGCCACGGGTAATGCTCTTTTCACCCTAAAAACACATGTGACTTTCAATTATTTTCCTACCATGCTTATCTGATGCTATAAAGATTAAAGTATACTCATCAGAATCATCGTATCTATTTTGCCAGCTTTTACCAATCGCAACCGTTCTACTTCACGAACAGCATCACCAGCCCCTCAACCACCAACTACTACAGAAAGTCGTGAGAAACTTGTAAGTATTTTATTTTTAAATTATCGCTTTTCCATTTGTTTTTTTAATCTTAACTAGATTTGTAGGTATCATTATTTTCATATTCGGGTGGTATTGCAACCTTTCACGTCATACCACTTTATGTTATGTCGACTTATAGCTGCTTGCAATTGTTCCAACACACTATTATTAAGTCTGATAACGTTTGCCGGCACGTTATGATGCAACTTTTAATGAATAATAGTTTCATCTATAAACAAGCTTAATGTCTTTTGATGACTGGAATTTTAGGATGGAGCAACTAGTCGAACTGCTCATCGAGATGAAACGAGTTCGTCGCGTTCCCCTGAACAACACCGTCGCCGTCGTCATCATCACCACTCTCCTGAGAGATGTCCGGTTGACACAAGACGCCGTAGATCACATTCACGCACTCGTCATCGTCGTCAGCGTTCCAAATCTCGCTCCAAGCTGGTGCAAAAGCCGTAAGTGATACTAAATGCAAATTTAATGAGTATATTTCTTAAATTCACTTTATGTTAAAATTATGTCAAAATTTATTATATCTGTTTAGTCTTGTTAACACGTCCAGCAAGTTTTGCATTCCCACCTAGAAATTTATCTGGTACATCACTGATAATACTTTTTTCTTTTAAATAGGAAATCACCTGTCACTGACTGGAGAAAAGACTTGATGGCCGGTAGACGTCGCAGTCCACCGGAAATGCCTGAGAGTAGTTATTATGGAAACGAAAAACGTTCAAAAGGCCATAAGCATTCCAAAAAACACGATAAACAAAGACATGGTAACAGTCATTCACACAAATCTCACAAAAGGTCTCCGTCTCACAACGCAGACTATTATCGACCTCGCAAGCATACTCATAATTCTGGATCCCGACACCATAACATAGTCGAAGTTAACGAGAGAGATCAAAGATCAGGTTGTTTAGAACAATCAAGAAAAGATGGTTTTGCTGAAAACTACAGAAAATATGAAGGTCCTGACCTACCTTCTCATTATGATTATCGTTCGTCTAGTAGATACAGACATGATGCTGAATCACACGGTCGCAACGCAAGCCCAGAACCAAGCCGCGCGCGCGATAGAGAATCTGATTGGCATCTCAGAGATCATGATCACCGACATAGTCACCATCCTAGTCACATAAAAAGAAGAGAAACCTCATCTGGACACGAAAATCTATCCTTTGAAAGACGCCAGTATCACCGTTTACCGAGTCCTGAAGGGCCGTCATTGCCCCCAAATATTTCCAAAAGACCTTCAGATTCTAGGATAATCGAAGGTCAGCTAGTTCTTTTTGTCAATGTTATGGTGAATATAATACATTTTGCTCATTCCTTTTCAATATTGTCTAAGTTTTGTCTCAGTTGCATATAAAGTTGTTTGTAGTGAAGTTTACTGATAATAAAAACCTGCTGTAGATAATTCAGTTAACTTCGTAAGGTGATTTCAGCGTTCCAAGGGCACATTTATCGTGACAAGTAGTAATATGACCGTTAATATTACAGCGTGCCTGCAAGTTGTGATGGGTTGGCTCCAGAGGTCTTCAAGTATAGTGGTCCAGTTTTAACGATTAGGTTGACTAATATTTTAGCTAAAATCTGGTAACTAAATGTAATCCCATCTGTCTGGTCGCAATCACTGGTTTTTCCCAATATATAAGAAGGGGTCTAAATCATCCTGTGATAACTATAGGGGGATTATTTTGACTAATATCAGTCAGTCAACTACAAAGTAGGACCAGGCATATATATGCATCGGTTCAAGTTGCCATACCTCATTAGCACAACAAGATTAACACCAAATTCACAGAAGTAGTTGCCTCAATAGTAGTGATATATAAAAGAAGGATTGTGTATATGGATATGATACAGGGAGAAAGAATTTCATAGAAAAAAAGGTATAAAGCTATTCTAATCTCACTGTTTGAGAGTAGACAAAGACTGTATTCACTTATGCCATTGTGAGCAATTCTGAGCCATGTCACCAAGAGTCACTAACCATTGGTTACGATAGTCACGCGAACCCCAACAAAGTAATCTGCATCTACCAATATGGCTCAGACCAGAATTTAGTGAATTTAAGCAATGGTGCCATTGTTTGGTTTGGCTGCCCCCCCCCAACTTTCATTCAACCATCTCTAACACTATTCAGAAATGCGCCTCGTAGTAATCGGTGTTCAGGCATACACAACACATAGCCCAACCATCTCAGTCGATGAAGATTCACAACTTCATCAACTGATTTACTACCATTTCCTAATACCCTTAGTCTAACCTCACTTCAACCGATGCATATATGCTCCTGGTTCTACGTTGCAGCTAACTGACTGACTTATATAATTATGGTACTAAATCAAAAGTAAGTCTTGTACGATCCAGGGAATGAGCTGTTTATCAGTATTCGCTAAAGTGCACTATTGCATAATATTAGTTGCAAACGATTTACCTTCAGGGTTATAGGATTTCCTCCTGAGTTTGTTGAATTTCCTATGACCCGGAGTAGAGACAAATAGGTTAATCGTCCATTCTGAATTTTCATTATCAGAATGTAACACCTGTTTGAAAGATGGGAAGCTCATTTTATCCATAATATTATGTAGATCCATCGTTCCGAATGCGAAAACTAACCATATATCAGATAAACACACTACCAATATATCAGATATGGATTTCACTGCATTGAAGATGCATTGGTTCTTCATTTGTTGTCAGTTTGTGACGAAAAATTACTTCGGAAGTACAATTCTCCACGTAATTTTTAGTTAAATATTAATTGAATGCTTACTAATGACTATGTTTAGAGTTTGAAAGGATTCAAGTAACAGGACTTACGGATCAATATGGTGTCATAGTTTAATAATTTTAAAGTTGTTTAATTTTCTTAAATTAAAGTTGCAATCTAACTTCCCCAACTTTGTTGTTTGCTTCCAGGAGTCCCCAGTAAGCGTACAAAACGTGAGACATCTGCTTCGTCAAGCAGCTCATCAACCAGCAGCAGCAGCTCTAGTAGTAGTGGTAGTAGTAGTAATAGTAGTAGTAGTGGAAGTTCCAGTAGCAATGAAAGCGAAAGCGAAGGAAATGGAGAAGAATCTAAAAAGCCACAAATTAAAATCCCAAAGAAAGAACCCACCCCTGAAGGTCCTGCTCTCCCTCCAGAGCTGGAGGTATCTCAACCTGAGGGTCCTGCTCTTCCTCCGGATGTTGAACTCGCCGTAGAGTGGTCGGAAAACCCAGCCCATTCTGGATCTACATCCCCAAGTTCGACAACTTCAGGATCTTCTACTGGTGACGAACACAGTGAGGAATCGGGATCAAGTTCAAGTGATAGTGATAGTGGCAGCAGTAGTAGTAGTGGTACCGGTAGTAGCAGTAGCAGTGAAAGTGATAATGAAGCCAACACGAAACCTCATAAATCTGAAAGAAACGGTAAACACCCTAAAAGTCTTGGAAATCATATGTCTCCTGAAGGTCCTGCTTTACCTCCTACCTCTAGCTCTAATTCACATAAGGTATATGCTCCTCCTGCATAGTTGTTGCATTTTCTGTTATCATTATTACTATTCCTTATTTTTCAAAATTTTGTTTCATAACGGGTTTACCTGAAGGCTGATATGTATTTTCAAAATCTTCCGTTTCAGAATGTTGATAACATCTACACTTTTGTAGCACATGCACGTTGTGTAGTGCGAAAACTCTCCTATCATTAATGTAGTTTGGTTAAAAATTGAATAAAAACACTTTCATATTGATCCTTTACTGGTTCATCGAGGGTTTTATTATTGTATCAGTTTATCTCCGATAGTGATCTGAATCCTGCTTTTTTGGTGTCTGGCATTGTGAAGAAACAATTAAGCATTAAGTCACTGTTGAATACTCTTATGAGTGAGTGGGATAACATGAAAGAATTGTACGTGGTTGTTATGCTTTACGTTTTCTCTAAGTCCTAGTATTTATAATCAGAACTTGTGACATCTGTAAAGGCTTGACCTGTTCTTACAGTAATCCTGGGAACCTGAGATATTTATGGAAATTCGGATCTCTACTTGTTCATGTTCACATAGTTCTAGGACTTCTTTTAGAACTATAGAGTCATCTAGCTGTTATTAAATCATAGGTTAATTGTTCATCCTAGTTGTTTAATACAGACGTTCTTGTAATCCATTGCTTGAATTATAGCCCTACTGACTATCCTTTCAGAACAAATTGATCTAGTAGGTATATGAAATTGGTGTCTGTTACGTATATTTAGTTTAGGCCTTTTGCCCCAGCGTCATTGCAAAAAGTTAGTCAAAGTAAGAATAACAAAACTCGCAGAATAAAATGAATTTATTTTATATCAGCTGCCAGGAGGCTTTAATATTCATCGAATTTCATGCTTTCTGCTTTCTTACACTTTACCAGTCGGACAAGTTGTATAGATTTGGAACGTCGTTGACATTCTTTGTCCACTCAGTCATAATGTAGCACTTTCAAGAAGTTTGCGTCAACACAAGTGCCCACATCAAATTAGGATAATTAGATAAAAATAAAAATATGGACAGCTGAATGTAATAATAATATTATCAGTGATTGTAGAAGACTAAGCAAAGAAAATGACTCACGAAGAAAGAATTGGTTCACGGAGTAAAATTTTCCATAATACTGAAACTCATAATCTAGCATTTGTAGGAAAGGAATGCATGCGATTGCTCTCCTTACCTGATCTTAGCTTTCTTCCAACCAAGACTACATGTTGGAGTAGGCGTAACGCGTGTCAGCCAAATCTGTCAGTGAAGATTCACTGCTTCATATATCGACTGGGCCAATAAAATACTCCTAACCTCAGCATTAGTCACTCGGTTCTACTGTATGCAATCATTGCTTGAGACATCTTATAGGTAATGTACGTCTCCCATTTTCACAGACCATGTTTCACAGCAATACAGAGCGGACATCCTCACATCGCAAGTAACCTCAAATAGCAAAAGCCACACGAGTTTTCTGAATCCATGTAGTGATTTCATCATGCACAAAACCACCAGAGTCAATGAGACCAAGATATGTGGATTGATTGGCGCACCCAACTACTTTACTCTCTATCATTAGTTCAGGTTGACGCAAACCGGTTATAGAGCAACATTTTGAATTAAGGAGGGGAGGAATGTATCTCGTACGAGCTTAAATTGTTTCTAAAGCCATTTAAAAGACTGCAGTCTTAGTGTCTTCACCAAACAGGGGTATGTCTTCTACGCACTCCAGGTAGGTGAATGAGTTAAAAGAAGAGTGACAAAACGGATATAATGGACTCCCGTAACGAAGATCATCTAAAGTTGACGATTCCAACAATAGTTGGACGTGAACGTTGATTTGATCAATATTGCCCGTATAAAGGGCTTTTACAAATTTTGTGTACTTTAGCACACTGATTTGTTTTAAGGAAGTTTTCAAGGCTCTCCGTAACCCTTTAAGCTCCTAACTTACGCTAAAATTCGTACTTTAGACTACTTTAAGCATTGATAAAAATACAACCAACTTAAGCATTCTTCATATTCCTATCTTCGAGGTAAACATAGGGAAATTTGTCAGCTGTCTACTTTCTGATAATTACAAAAGATAGATTTATCTGTATAAGCGTTAATTCATGATCCATTTACTAGTTTGGAGATTATCTGAGACCTGAATAAGGATAACACTTATTTTGTAGTAACCATCTATATTCTATTTTGTGAAAGTTAATTTTTTTATTTTTTTGTGTAGAGGATTGACCCCCATGAATCAGTTGAAGAGGTTTTACGTCGACGGGCTTTGGAGTCTTTACTTCGGAGCTCACAAAAACTCCGCGGTTCTCCTTAGATGGAATGAGTCGATTGCCATTGATTTGTGGATTAAATTTTACAATATTTTCCTCTTTTTCATTATTTGAGACAACACATACTTTTTCCGGTTTAAATAAATAGGAAATAAATGTAAACAAAAGCTGGGTCATTTTCCTAAAAATTCTTCAATATGATCAGATATCTTCATAATAAACCAGTGTATTGTCAGTTGTCGAATTTCCTTTAACCCCCTTTTGTATAGACACCCCAAAAATTCATAAATTATGTTTTGTTGGAATGAATGTTAAATTGTATTTTTTTGTTGTTGAAGAATTGCATGTCTTAATTATACTGGGTTTTATAATATGCAATGTTTATATAACTAAACAAATTGAAAATATACTCTTTCATGATCAGCGTTAAATATCTGTATTGTAAGCATGGTAGCAAACAAAGTTATTTGCCATTTTCTCTCTTCTTAATCCATTTGAAATTTATCGAGAAAGCGTATTTAACCGATGTTCTACTTAAAAAGTGAGATTTTTTTTGCATTAAGAAAATATACGTTTCAGTAGTTTATATTATTTCAGTTATATTAAGTAAAACGATCAATTTCGAAATAACTGTTGATTTAGGAGGCTAAATAGCTCCCTGAAGTTGCTTCATATGTGAAACCGTCTCACCCACTTCTGTTTGAGCATTCAGATAGTATCACTAATCCTCGAAGCTAAATACACAAATTTGTACTTGGTACAGATCTCGGAACTCGGAATGTGGGTGTTCAAAATATACATAATGTTTGGTAAGCGTGACTTCTAAGGTTTCACCTTTTATCACCGTATAAATATTTATTTGGTGTTCCATACCTACTTTTCTAGAATACGACAGTACAAACCAAAATATCAGAGAAAGTTAATTTTTGGATTAGGGTCTAATTAACTTAAACTTTTGTAATGTAAGTCGTTGAATTCAGGTCTTTAGGGCACGGCTCTTGTGTGATGGCTCGTTACGCTAACCGATTGTCAAAACGGAAGGCTGAGCGGGGCTCAAACCTGCTTTAACTACTTTCTCGTTACATTATGATCAGTTCAGTAAATACGGATAATAGCCTAGTACTATACAAATAAACTTTTCTCCATGCCAGTCACAAACCCGATTACAATATCTTCCCTCAGTATTTGTTCTGAAAGCCTTAGATTTAAGGACCAGTTTGAGAAGTCTTTATTGTGCTACACTTTTCCTCGTTGAGTTAACCAGCACTGGGATAATTTGATCCTCAGCTGATTAAAATAAAATACACAAATAAGATGGTTCTTGGTTCGTAAAAGCCATTGGCTAGCTTGATACGTTTCTCGAAACCAGCTCGTGTTGTCATTAGGAACGGTCTTACCAGAGAACAGAATGAGTCGTAGCGTAAGAGCGGTAACAAGTGTGTATCGGTCCAGCTTGCTATAACTCACACTGCCATTGCATTTGAAGGAATTATTAAAGCCCAAGGTGAGAGGAATTAATTCCAATCGTAAAGCAGATCGGAACATTAGTAGTACCATCGATAAAGGATTAGTGAGATCGAACCAAATAGGAAGTCTGCACCATTCAACATGGCTTATCTCAGTCTGATAACCACAATTGTTTAACGCTGTTCTATAGTCCTCTGGGAATGCTTATAAGTATTAATCCTAGAATACGTATCAATCATATTGCTTCAAAATCGCTACTCATCATCTAGTTCATTGAAATCACAGGTATGAATTCAGGTTCACACATTCTCAAGTTTCTGTGTAATGCTGAACAACAGATTAATAATTAAGATGTAATAATAACACTATTTATAGAATTGTATAAACAACATAGGCTTTTATTAATATATTGATTTATTCCTGTTGTAAACTATTGTTCCATTGTCTTTTGTCTAGTGAGAGCACATAAGAAAACAAGACATGTCAATAATGTCCTTGTTCTTTCTTTCATACAAATACATTAATCAATAATTATACTTAATTAGAGTAATTCACAGATGGAAAATCAGATATTAATTGGTTTTGTAATAATGTGTTTTTCATTAAAATCAACATGTTTAATTTGATAACATTTTTACATTGCATGTTTTATATATCTGTGTATTCGAAGTGTATTTATTCCGAGAATTTTATGCATGTAACGTGGATTATAAAAAGTTGTTCAGATTTAGCTTTTAACAGTAAATGACCATTCTGTTTAGCACCATGTTTGAAAGTGCTCGACAATTAAACTACTTGACAGTTAAATCCACGTTTTCAAAGCTCAAAACACCAAAAGGACAGATAAATGACCATAAGTTTGCTTATGATTCAGACTCATAATCCATATGATTACGTAGATAAAATACATAAATGGTTCACATCACTTTCTAAATCTCAATAAATAGAGACATTTGTTAGTATAAAACTGAGTATGGTTAATTGACTGTTATTTATGAACTATTTTTAAATTTAAATTAACGAGGCTTCTGTAGACAAACTATTGCTGAGCATCTGTGTTGAAACCGAGTGACTGACGTTTAAAGGTTCATTGAATTCGTGCTATATGATGACTACCATTTACAGCTACCAGAAAGTATTTGTTTCCATTATAAATTTGGTTGAAATCAAGGTACCTTACTAGAAATCATAGAAGGGTAGTTTAGTTGTTTGTATTGGCCACTAGAGCAATAATAGGGATAAATATTTTTTGAGCTATACCATAAGTTGTTGAAATATGAAGCATTCTAACCACCACATACTCATATCATGACTCAAAAGATTACTGGTTAAGTATAAAATTTGAAAATTGCTTTCTTAACATCTACTTTGATGGAGCTGGTTTTAAAATGCCTAGTTTCTAATTCGAAATCGGAAGTTAAACAAGTTATCCGGTTAATTTATCGTTAGGAAGTGATTCACGTGTTATTCATTCCGTAGAATTTTTATTTGGTAGGTATACTTTCACATCGACATTAAAATTGCTGAGGAGTCCCATACTAGGACGAAGCGGCCGTTCAGTGCTTCCAGGTTTCCCATGGTGGTCTAGCTCCAATCGACTCATGATTTCAACAAGTGAAACTTCTAAAAATCTCCACAAAACCCATTCTGATAATAAAAATTTATATCAAACTGTATCAAAACAGTATGTTAAAACTACCATTAAAATTCTCCTATAATCAAAAACAAAGTTTTCTGGAGAGTTTGGATTCCAGCGATCAATGCTTCCAATGACCAGTTTTTTAATACAGTAACAAAGATTGTTTCTTAAAGTTACACGTGCGGCAATGGACTAGTAATTACAACATTAGCTTCCAATCCACGTCGTAATTCTGAATCCTCCTTCATCTGTTTCTATTTGTAGACTCGGGTATCAATATTAGCCTTCAAAGTATAGTATAGAGACCTGCAATAGATAACTGAGTTGCACTGAATTAAAACTTTACAAAATTTATTCAGAATCGAGACAAATATACATATCCTTTTGAGTTTTTGGATTCAATACACTCAAGTGTATCTGAAAAGAGGACGGTTCTGTTACATGTTGTTTCTTTCTTCCTCTTATATGTGTAAAGCACTTCTTATTTAATTACATTACAGTTAGCAAAATCGGTATTTTAAACAACCTTACGGTGCGCTTTCGACATTCAATTCAGCTTTGACGATGACTTCAGTAGATACATCGATGAGTTAAACAAATAAACTATACCGAATGATTTACTCAAGGGTAAATAGATGACAACCTGAAATCAAAATGAAAGCATCCAATCGGTACCTAAGAATATTTTGTTTACAAGCATCAAATCCATGGGCTATATGTCAGCAAAGATCCCGAAAAGCTATCCACGAAGATCTACGAGAAAATTCACTGTAACACTTAACTGTCTTCTCATGTATGCAACTAACTCAAGAATGTCCTACGAATAAATTGTTGTCCTGGTCCACGTTAAACCGCATCTATAATTTTGTTAGCTCTTGTAGAGTACAAAGCATGTACCTTATAAACGCGTATGCAAGTACAACCCTTCATGGTTATTAAAACAGGATGTACAGGTTAGTCAATGAGTCTATTCTCGAACTTCTTGTTAATTTTGGCCACATGCTTCCACCAGAACTATAATCCAAGATAATCTATTACGTAAAAATATCCGGGTTAAAGTGAGTTAATGTTGAAAAGTTTTAATGACTGAGGCTTCAATAACTAATCCATCCAAGCCCTTTCTGTGTTTTCAAAAGAGATATATCCAATTCCTTATTTTACTATGGTCTTAGTACTCCTGATTTTAAAAGTTGATGTTGGTATTTATTTGTTTATTCTTCACGTCGTATCAATCATTTTCATCATAATACTTCTAATTACCTTTAAGTATACATTGTAACTTACATTCAATAATAAAAACCTTAAATAACTTTGTTAATGACCATATATATGATTGTACAGCTTTAGTATATAACGTAATTGGGAATGTTTTTTCCTTCACTGAACTATCTTTATTTTATAAGCAAAGATGGATAGTGGCTAGCAGTGGAATCCAGGACGCGCATTTCGTCCTGTTTGGGACTCGTCAGCTGAATGTACCTGCATCTCAGAGTTGATGTTCACTCTGGGACTCGAACTCAGTACCGATCAGAGGCTAATCAATTTCAGTCCTAAAACATCAATGAGAAGATTCAAGTAAAACAATACCCAGTGAATTATCTTTAGTTTGCTTAGATACCAACCAGTTTAGTCTTAAAGAGTAGTTTCAGTGAGACAAGTAAATATTATATTGTTAATGATTTTAACCATTGGTATCTATACAAATTCATTGATTAATAATTAATTTGAATGATTTGTTTCTTTCTAACGGTTTTATAGATGAAAAAATAGTAAGCAATGAAAATCACGTTATTAATGATTATTAAGGTTAAGTGAACAAAATACTTTAGGAGTATGTTGTGCTATCTTACATATCTATACATTCTTATAGAAACTCCACTTATACCAACAGGGTGATGATATTCTGTTTTCTCTAAATCTATAATTAGCCCGTTTAACCTTGACCTACTTCATGCGTTAAAAAAAATCAAGGCATGTGCAAAACAAAAGCTTATGATGTTTCGACTACTCTGTGTTTGGCTTTTTGTAAGTACAAGATCTTTAGCCTGTGAATAGAAGGGTTAGTAATTTTTCGATTTTGGTATTTAGAATTGGATTTGATCAGATATTTTGATATATAGACTTCTTGAGTGTACGCCTCGAAGTTGCCTGTAGCTGCAAGTTGATTATTTTCGGGATAATGGGTTACTTAACAGTACGGGGTTGTGGAGATTGTTAAGTTTTGATTGAGATCATGAAACGATCAAAAACCCTATACTGTTAATTATCATGTGCTCTTTTGTGAATAACTTCGAGAGGTGATTCACGGAGTTCTAG